CAAATTTAAATGAATTAATCTTAAACAATTGATGCAAAGTTCAAAATCGAATGACAGACAAATAAAGAAACAATATAACTTGTCATTATTGTGTAAGAGAGTGGAGAAAAATGTTAAGAACAGACCTCAAAATCAAAATCTAGATAGACAAAGATGAAAGAGAAAGTAACAAAAGACTTACAAGATAGATCAGAGCTCAAGATCGAAATTGAATTGAATGTTTATGAAGATTGTAGTTGAAACAGGCTGAGATCGAAATGGAGTTGGTGTAGTTAGAGACTGAATTGATTGATATTGAAGTGAAGGTGGTTAGAGTTGAGTAGTGATCGAGATAGAGGGGTCCTATGGAAGCTTTTGTTTCAACTTATCAAATAGATACCTAGAAGCGAAATGAAAAGGGAATCAAAATTTTAAACAAAGAAGATAAAGTTAGTAAACAAGAACAAACAAAGATAAAGAAATGAAAGAACTTACTTAAATGAAGATCAAGATCAAAGGTCAGAATCGAAACTGAATCCATCAATCTATTCATCAGATACAATAAGAATAGAAAAAAAAGGAAACAGAATAGACATTCGATTTTGAGGTCTGAAGTTAAAACTAATGAAAAACTTAATAGAAGGATCGATTTTGAGGGTTTAAATTGAGATAGAGAAAGAGGGTGGTGTCAGTGTTGTGCAAGATGAATAGTAGAAAGAAAGTTAAGAGAGAAAAGACTTACATATTTATCAAGATCTAAATCAAAGATCAGAATCGAAATTGAAACTAAATAGGAATTCGATTTTGAGGTCCAAAGTTAAAACTAATGAAAACAAAGAAAGGAGGTAAAGGAGTCAGTATGAGAACAAACAAAGAAGTGAATGGGAAAAGAAACTTACTTAAATGATGTCAAAATCGAAATCTAAATACATAAAGTCAAGGATGGGATAGTGTAGAAGAAGAGAAAAGAAATCAAACTTACATTGTAAATCGATAGTGTGAAGATCGAGCTGGAGATTGAGGATGGAGTGCGATCGAGAGGTCCAGATCGAAAGAGAGTGGAGGAGGTTGAGGTAGAGGTGGAGACGAGTGAATGAATAAAATAAAACTAAATCGAAAATCGACGGAAATCCAGTTGTGTCGTGACTTACAAGTGAAGTCCGATCGGAGGTAGTAAGTGGAGGTCAAATTGAAATTTCAAAAGAAGAGGGGTCTTGTTCGTTCGTGTGTCTGTGGAAAGAATCGCATCATTTTCATTCTTTTTTGGGATCCATCGGAGGGATCATCGTGTTTTTTTTGTGTTATTTGCGTATCAGTGTTGATCAAAGAGTGTTCTAAGTTTTTTTTTAAAGTGTTCTAGTGTTCTGATTGTCGTATCAGTGTTCGTGTCTGGGTCTAAGTGTTATAATCGTGTCTTCATGTGTCCTTGAGAACGTATCAGTTTTTTTTAGTGTTCTATCAAAGAATTAGAATATCATCTTTAGTTAGTGTGTCCGATTAAATCAAGTTCTTTGAGTATTAAAAGATAAGAAAGATAGATGGAGAAAACATAACCTCTATTGTTGTTTAGATTATCATTTGTAGTGATTAGTGTCTTGAAGAGGATCATTGTGTTTTTTTTTCTTATATTTTCTGTTTGCTGAGCTCGGTCAGAAATCAGTCATCAACTCGTCAGGTTAGATTACAGTTTGAAATTACCTCAGACCGGGTTGAGTCAGGGCTGTAGTTGTTACATTTACAATTTTTACAATTTCACTTTTACATTAAAACTATTTACAATTTCACTTTTACATTAAAACTATTTACAATAAAACTCAACATCAACATAGTTTTGTATCACCCTCTCATATAGTGTAGTGTGGGGTACCGTTGGAATCCGCCAGATCTTGCGGATCTTCTAGTGATATTAGAATAGTGTTACGGATTAGATTTGAGAAGGTAGAAATTTGTTAGAGAATTGCTTCCGTGATTTTTTTATTTTTTTGAACTTTTATTTAAAGGTTGAGGGCAGTCTACGACAACCATAGTTTCACCTGTGTGGTTATTCTTTCTGCGCGGTGATTCTTCCCCTCTCCGGCTCAGCCTACGCTACACAGCGTAGGAGTTCTACAACGTGTATCCACCGGATTTGCATGAAGATGATTTTGCTTACGATGGTAAGCAATTTTCCCTACATTGCACTTTTCACTTCCTCTAGTCATACTAACCCCATCGTATCTTCTATCTCTATCGTATCCTCTTCAGCTGTCCTCAACGCTCCCTTTCAGCTGGACTAACCCCTTTCAAACCGGCAACAACAAACCCTCTGCGTTCACCATCTATATAATGAAGCGAAGTCGCAAAGGACAGACCCTGAACGATGACCGACCGAAGGGTTCGCTGAACCCAACTCTCACTTACCCTATGCCACAACCCAGCTCAACACTACCGATTACATTACCAACAAACAACTCTGTTATCCACCACCACGTCTATGTCCCATCTCAAACTAATTATGTAGCTGGACCTTTGGCTCAACCCCACGTCTATATCCCGTCTCAAACGAATTATGTAGCTGGACCTTCGCCTCAACCCCATCTCGTGTGGCACTCAACTCCTGGCTTCCCATACCCACCATCGACTCAGTTTGTGTTTTCGAATCCCCCTGGAACACCATCTTTTCCACCCACTGTGTCACAAATACAACCTCAGCATCTCGATTTGTCAAGAGGTCAAGCTCAAGCTGTATCAAGCGGAACAGATATCCTTTCACTTCCTATGCACTCGATCACGCGTGTCAACAATGCGAACCTTCCATCATCACACTTGAACCCTACTAGTACCACCTGTGAAAGCGATAGTGTTGTTACAAATGAAGTACCACCTGAATTAAACGAGAGTAGCATCTTACAAGAGTTTGATTTGGCCAACGACAAGCGAGACAATGAATGGCCTCCTATTGGTGAGTTCAGTTCGCTTTTCTTTTTCTTTATTCAAATCTATGATAGTTATTCGATCTGATTCCTCATCAACTCAAAACAGGAGCGGCTCCAGTTCGGTTGATGCAATCACCAAAAATCGGGAAACCTTTCTATGAGAAGGACGCTGGCATAATGTATCTGAATGCGGTCGCACGGTATCAAGGATACGTTTTATCTGTCAAGAGCCACAAGACCGACATGCACAGAGAGACGGTACGGATCTATCTAGAGTGTTCCCGGGCAGCAAAACCGACAAAGAAGAAAAAGAAGAATAAATCAACTGGGGTTAAGGACAATGAGGATGATCACGACGATGCTGATCACAACGAAGCTGATGAGCCAAAGGAGAAGCGTGCATCCTCTTCCAAGAAGACGGGATGCACCTTCGAGGTTTCACTCAATTTTCACGCCTCTAAAGGACGGTGGTTTGTCACTTCAGATGCCGACCGAAACCCTCTAAAAGCGAAACACAATCATCCGGCTTTTGAACATCTATACGAAGAAAGTCGATATCGGCAAATCAATCCGGAAAACGACAAGATCATTTCATTCCTAACTTCGGCTGGAGTTCGACCTCGCAACATTCGGCCAATTCTCAAAGTTCAAAGCGGTACCGACGTTCTTGTGCGCGATATCTACAACTCCCGGGCACGTCAAAAGAAATGCTGGCTCAATGGACGAACACCCATTCAAGGGTTGTTCGACTTAGTAACCAAACAGAAATGGGCTTTCCGAACGGTTACTTCAGACAACGGCACCCTTCAGTCTTTTTTCTTTGCAAGTCCTGAGGCCATCCAGCTTGCAAGACGATTTCCTACCGTCTTGGGCATCCACTGCACCTATAAAACCAATCGGTTCAACTTACCACTACTCCACATAGTCGGTACCACCAACGCCCACAAGTCTTTTACTGTAGCCCTTTGTTTCTTACACAGTGAGACCGAAGATGCTTACGAGTGGGCCATGCAACAGCTGAAGTCGATTGTGTTTGACTCCGATGAAACAGTTAGTCTCCCTCGAACCTTTGCCACCGACGCCGAACCAGCACTTTTTAATGCAATCAACACTATCTTTCCGGACTCTGTACACATATTATGCATCTGGCATATCAATGAGAACATTGGCAAGAACTGTAAGAAGAATTTCAAAACCAACGATGAATGGGAAGATTTTATGAAAGTATGGAATCAGTTTACTTGCTCAACTACTCCCGAAGAATATGATATCAACTTGAAAGCTCTCACTGTCCTCGCTAAAAAACACAACATTCTCGAATACTTGGAGCGCAATTGGCTTCATCGAACGAACAAGTTTGTATCTCTTTTTACATCATCAACACCCCACTTCGGGAATTCCTCTACATCCCGGGTCGAAGGTAGTCACTTTGGTTTGAAAACTTTTCTCGAAGGCCGCAACAACGATTTTCTAACATGTTTTAATGCATTCAAGCGACATGGGGAACATCAGTACAACGAGATAATGATATCTTTCGGAATTGAGAAGGGTAACACGCTTCAAGACATACCACCATTCCTTAAGGACCTTCACGGCGTGATATCCCATTTTGCTATCAAGGATATAGCCGCCCAGTATGAGAAGATATCTCAGACTCAACTGCAACCTGACCGGCCTTGCACTAAGACATTCCGAACCGCTTGGGGAATGCCATGTAGTCATGACATTGCTGCTGCACGCGAGGTATCTGACACTCTATCGCCTGACTTAATTCATGATCAATGGCGGCTTGTGATGGACATCGCCCCCCATTCTCGACAAGGCCTTCATAATGCCGCACGTTCAAAATTCAATGCCTTATTGAATCTACCAGAACATTCCCTCCGTAAACTATACGAGGAAGTCGATCTTATCAAAACCGGACGGTACTCATTAGTTCCTATATTACCACCTGAAGTCAAGCACAACAATCGAGGTCGACCTCGCACTGGGAGCCAAAAACAACCAGCTGTCTCTAAGAATGGTCGATGGAAATCTCAACATGAAGTTGAAGAAACGAAGAGAAAAAAAAAAGAAAAAGCAAAACGAAGACGACTTGAAGAAGATATGACTCGAGAAGAGGCAATGTTGGATGAAGACTCTGAGGATCAAGGAGTATCTGAAAGCCATTCAAAGCCTGAAGGTGTCACAAAAGAGTCTGACACTCCCTCTACCTTATCAAATCCGATCAATGGTCCCTCTACCTCGTTGATTCTGATAGCTACCCCTCAATCATCCAACCCAATCCCCACCACCAAACTTTACAAATGTAGCAAATGCCGCCAACCTGGACATCGGGCCAACAAATGTCCGGTTAACCAGTCGCATTCTCAACCTACCGATTTGTTTAATGCCACTCAACCTCAACCTGACGATTTCTTTGATGCCACTCAACCTACCGATTTGTTTGCTACTCAACCTACCAATGATTGTGAACAAGGTTTGTTTTTTCAGGAGGAGAGTGAACACAACAAGGCATTGTTACTGTTTACTGAGGATTCCGAAAGTCAAAGTGGGTCCGACACAGAAAATGACGAAGCACTTTGTCCATTTTGCGATGAAGAGATGCCTGCGAACCCATCCGATAAACTTCTCTCTTTGCGGGCCGAACTGCTGGCTATGCCCGAAATAACTCAGGGGATTGGTCGCTCAGGATCAAGGAGTCTTCCAGTAAGTTAAACCCCATTCTAACAATTGTATTCAATTGTTGACCTTATGGATTTCATTTTTCAGTTCGCACAAACGGCAACTTTTTGCGGCCTTCATGAGGCAGAGCGCCATATAATTCCCAAAGGTATCAGTGAAGGCTGGCCAACCTCAATCAACTTCAACGGTCTTGCGAGGTGAGACCCAACTTGTACTTTGTCTGTAACACCACTGGCTGACATCATATAAGTTAAAGGCAAACCGTGTTCGCCGGCAAAACTCGACAAAACTCCCAATTAGTACTTTCAATTTGGAGGTTTACGCGTCCTTTGAGTAAAATCCCTGGCTCAAGCGTTCGCCTCATCATCTAATGTCAAGCTCCCATAGAGATCATATCATCTCAATCCTGTCCAATCCTTCAACACTTCAACTTCAACTGCAATCATGAACTATAATCAGGACCTCACTTCAATCTAAACCCCTTATCTTCTTTCCCAACTCTCAATCAGTTCGTTCTCATCCGCTCACCTTCCTCCCATTTGAATCAAAGTGACCACCCAATCTTTGAACCATCAAGCATGTTTTTGATGAGGGCCATTCGACTGTTGGATTGGTGTCAATCAAATCAGAATCAGCCACCTTTGAACTTTCTTTGTGAGTCCATTACCTGAAAAATTTGAATGTTCATCTAAGTTTGGCTGATGTCTAGCTTCTATTCGAAAAAACTGACTATCTGACCTTTTCTTTTCTTTTGATCCTTTATGCATCTTGGATAGAGTAATATCTTGAAACTCACCTCAACTTTGATACAAACACCTCTAAAGCCATCTACCAATCCAAATGTTACCTTTCACTGGTTTGGAGATTTCCGTATTCTGTTGACTTACCATACGTGGTACACCCTTAGCAAAGCTTATTGTACATCAAAACCGATCCATCAAGCTCTTTGGGGTCTATTTGGAATTGCGAGCAATGGTACAGCGACTAAAAGATCCACAGTACGAAAAGAAGATCATCAAAAAGGTGAAGACACTTTGATTTCTCTGACTCGATATTTGATTTCTCAACTTGCTTATACAGTTTGTATGCTTGGATTAGTCACTCAGGAGTCATCGGATTCAAAGTTTGACTTCATTGATCCGTTGGGATGATCAGATTGATTATAAAAGGAAAGTAGCCTGGATGAAACATGAATCAATTGGTCTGATGCTTCAAAACTCAAATCACCATCAATTTCATCAACAAGCCCGAAACCTGACTCGATTAATGAACAAAATTTCTAATGTACATATTCAACATTCAAATTGATCACAATCTTACAGAAGTTACTTCAATAGAAGAAATAGAAGAATGAGATTGGTTAGCTATCAAATTAGTTTTACTTCAAGATGAAAGCATCCTTTCCGAAAGGATTTCAGGAGAATTTGGTTTACTAAAATTTAATCATAATTTTTTTGAATTACTTCGATCTAGAATTAATAAAAATATGAATCGATCAACCATGGAAGATGGTTTAAAACTGATGGATCAAATTTGACACATTTGAATCAAGTTAATATTGATCGATCACATTTGATTCGGCGGGGTCTCGACAGAATGATTTCATCTATTGTGTTTACGTCGTTTGTGAGTCACTTTCTTTTTCCCTTGTTCACTTCCTGTTTACTTTCAATTTTCTTTTCTTTCTTTTTGATTCTGATCTTTCTTTGTGTATCTTTTGATTTCACCGATCATCACGACCAGCCAGTTCCAGCCTATACCGTGCTTCTTGATTAAGTACGGTTGAGTCCGCTCCATCAAGAAAACATGACTCCAGCCGATCACAAGTCCCAGTGAAACATCCGTCCTTGAATCTTCTACTGGTACCTCCTCCAAGCCGCGAGTTTCACCCGTCAATCGAGCAGTAACATCAGTGAACAAATTTTCAGAACGATTTTTGGTTTGCATTACCTACTGTAATTACAATCAAAGCTATTGTGAGACCGATCGAACTTGGGTTTAGGTATCATTTTGATATCCGAAGATCTAACTATCAATCAGATAAGGTAAAGCTCAACCTTTCAAGTTGTTTTTTATTCATTTAACTTATTGCTTGGTTTCGTTTTCTTGGATAGCCTGAATGGTATCTTGATCATGTACTTCATTGAATTGAAGAACATGAAAGGTCCGTATAAATAGATACCCCAAACCTAATGAACATGAACAAATATAATCATATAGATGCAATGGTAAGTCCATCAAGCCTAATCCGCAACAAGAAAACGAGTTAAACTGAATGCAGGATTTTTTCTCTTAAACTGAAATTTCAAGTTTGTTGAGTGAAATGATTTGAAAGCACTTAAAACAGAGTGTACCACAAGTATCAGAAATTAAATCACTTTTAGCTCATGCAACTTGATAATTGAACAAATTTTAGATCAATCAAAGACAGCATTTCAACCTATCAACAATCAATTCAAGATTATGAGAATCTTAAATGTGTCTGAATCACCATATAGTTTGATTGGATTCAGTTGATCTTCAGTATCAGTAAAAGTTGAAGGAAATGAAAGTAATTCCAGGATTGGCTAGGTGACAGTTTTTAAATAAGGTTTTTGTTAGTTGTAACAGGATGTTAAGTGTTCTTAATCAATGTAATGATTATTTTGTAAGTCATTCTTTCTTTACATTCATCAAAGTCAAATTATATCATTCATTAATGTTAACTTACACTGATCACCCAATTAATCAAACCACTTACAATCTGTACTCATTCAATTAAATCAATAAGTACATCAATTCATAAAAGAGAACAAAAACTATTTTTGAAAACCAGTCAAGAATGCTAATTCAAATATAAATACAACCATACACAGGATTGGAATTAGATCTACAATGATGTATGAAGTTCCTCAATTGAAGTTTGATGTTGAAAATTGTGGGATTAATACAATACAAGAAAATTTAAAGGTTTGTGAAATCAGCTGGAAAAGATCATTTGATGCTATTCAAGTTTTGTCTTGAGACAATATTTTGGATAATCAAAGTGAAAATAAATGGAATATTATTCAAGTTTGTGAAGTTTGTTTTGATGAAGATTAAATCAAGGATGATGAATTTAAGACAAAGGAGTTGGAGATTGATGGGAATGAGTGGTGTATAGATGAAGTCTATGCTTTTTTAAAAAGAAGCCCTGAGTGTTGGAGGTAAGTAAATAAGTTGAGATTGGCTTTTGTGTACAATTATTGTGTTTGTTCTTTTGTAAAGATTTGAGGAGTTTATCAACTTTTTGCGTTTGAATTATGTTGGAGTTTTCTTTAATTTTGTAATTCAGAAGGTTTACACATATTATATACCTGAGTTAAAGAAGCAAAAGAAGGAGGACAATAGGACAACACAAGTATTGAACCAGTAAATTACAGATGAAAGTCTTGAATATATTTTGGTGAAGTTGCAAAAAACAAAGACCCAGAATCTCCATAGTTACTGTTGATTGTGAATGTAGAGTATGTTGACCCAATTGATTTGGAAAAGCACTCACTTCACAATCAGTAATGGACAAAGACTGATGGGATCAGCACTTGGTCAGACACTGGTAATATGCATCTACATAGGCAGGAATGAATGCAGCAGGTGCCCAAAGGCATGAAGGCACCTGTGTAGTTCCATAAAAAAGGAACTAAGGAGCACAGGGCTTAGACAGACTCGGTACCTGTGTTGCAGAGTACCAAGCCTAGATGGGGAATTCAAATTTCCCCAACAGAAACAAATTTGGGAAAAATTAACTTCATCCTTTTTCCCTAAATCTTTTTCCTCTCACTCACTCACACCAACAACCACCAATCACTACGAGTAAGATAGTGAGAGTCTCACAATTTCTTATAATTTTTCTTAACCTCCCACCCGCCCCTGCACCCTGCCACACAGAGAGCCTACCCCATCAGAACACCAGCGGCCCGCAGGCTCCCCCCAAACATGTGACAAGACTTAGAAATATCCAAATCTTGTGACTTTTGGTAGTTTGATTAGGTAGCTTAGTGAATAAAGAATGTATAATACAGATCGAAATAAAAAGAAAACAAAAACTTGGTAAAAATAACCAATAAGAAAAACATGTTCCACATAGAGTTGTGAGACTCTGATTGATGGAAAGGAGATCAGACTGATGTGAGACGTTGATGCGGCGCCCGCCGCCCAGATGTGCTAGTACTTTTGTATGGTACAACAGCCGCATAGACTCGCAGGCCAATTTTTTGTCAAAGATAATAAAACGTGAAACGAAGTCTCACTATCTTGACCTAGCTTTAACAAAATGGAAGAGCCGTGATCGAGGTCAGATGTTACAATTTGAAGGTTTTGATGTCGAGCTTCCTGGCTAGTGAGTTTATGAGTCAAACCCTACAAATAAGTCGTGTGGTTTAATGTGCTAATGCGCTGTTTACTTAGTTATGGATACAAAGGTTTCGAGGTCATCGTAACCAAACTCCAGCTAGTATTCTTATCCGATTCATCAGATGCACAACTAAACACAAAAAACACGGCCCCCCTCGGCCCAGATTTGTACATCCGACGTGTCCTGCTTCCTGAGTTAAGCCTATCTTTGATCGCTGAGGATCTAGGATTACCTCGAACCCATCATAAAGTCAATGCGACCCTTGAAGCAAGTCGGAAGTTTGGCGCTTGGGTGTTCCCAATCGAATACGAGTATGAGTACAAGAACACTTCTTCAACACCAAACAACATCAACAACTCCAAATCTCTTCATTCCAATCCTCTCGATCATTCCAATCCTCTCGATCAATCCAATCCTCTCAATCAATCCAATACTCTCGACAAAAGCTGTCTTGTTCAACCAAAAGATCAGTTGATATTGAAGCAACTACCAGTTGTAATAGTACCATACATCAAGTCAATCCACGACCCTCCTCCTCATGGAAATTGTGGGTTTTACGCGATTGCGGCATCAATGAACATGTACACCGAAGATGCTTACCTTGTCATTCGCCGAGAAATGCTTGCCGAGCTCTTGTCGCATCAGGAAGATCACACAAAACTGATATCCACGCCTTCTCAGCGCCCCCGGACGAGGAAACAGCAATCTGACGCGGAGGAGGTGGTACAAGACCTTATGCGTCGGCTTGACCACGAGGGAATCTCTTGCACTGATGAGTACTGGTTGAGGATGCCTTCATTGGGCTTTGTGATAGCAAGTGCGTTCAACC